AATTATCATCTCATATTAATAAATACAACCTCTTTCTCCCACTGGGGATTTAACCCAGGGCCCTCTTTGTGTTATGCATATATTCTGCCCCCGAACCACACCCCAGTTATTTTAATTTTGAATACAGTAATTATCGATAGAGATAACCTTTAAAGGCAAAAGCTCTTTGAAATTCCTAATAACTTTTAATGGTATAAGTGGGCTTTAAAAATAGGTGCCTAGCCTCCCAGTCTTATGACTTGAGATTTCTTTTCCTCTTTCATGTTTTTGTTTTTAACATGATGGAGCAGATACACTTCTCCCTGTTCCTCTCATTTAATTCATACAAAACCTTGGATGTTATATATAAAACCAACACCAGAAGGTTCTGATAGGAACTGAGAAGGGAGAATGGCTCAGGGCTTGAGAATCAAGAAAAGATGCGATTACAGGGTAGTGTCATCAGAGACCAAATGTAAAGCCTAAGCAATAATGATCCCAGCAATAATGAGATATCCTCTTCCTCTACCCAAATGCCCCACAGACATCAACAAGGAAACTTGTACCCACCAGTACAAAATCAAAAGAAACCCACTAGAACACAAGAGTCAAATAAAATCCAGAGTCTTATAATAACCCAAATGTCCACATGCAATTAAAAAAAAGTTATACCAAGAACCAGAGAAATCTCAACATGAATAAGGAAAGATAATTAACAGATGAACAATTATAACATGCTTGAAACAAAGACTAGAAAGTCTTGGCAAAGACATAGAAGGTGCAATAAATCACGTTCTTGCTTGAGACTTAAACAGAATAATAACCAGGCATGGTATATGGCTATGATCACAGCAGTCAGAAGGCAGAGGCAGGAGAAGCTTGGGTTTGAGACCAGCCTGAGCTATACCTTGAAACCCTATCTCAGAAAAACAAGAGCTAGGGATGTAGCTTGGTGGTAGAGTGCTTACCTAACATGTGCAAAGCCTTAGGTTTGATCCCCAACACTGTATAAAGAAGACAACAGAAGAAATAAAACAAAAATCCCTCATATTTCTAGAATGATTATCCTCACTTAGAACCTGTGCCAAAGCTTCTTCTTCTTCCTGGAACACCCATCTTTTCTACATCATTTGGTGGTGGTGGAGGGGGGTGGGGTTCAGACATCTCATATGTAGCCCAGACTGGTCTAACTCATGATCCTATGCCTCCACCTCCCAAATGCTAAGTTATATGTGTGCCACCACCCCCACTAAGAGTTTCCATACCTTAATACTCACACTTGATGAAAACTGTTCTGTCATCTGTGTCCTTTGTCCCATGTAGTTGGTATAATACCTGACTTGTAAAAAGCACTTGAAAAATGCTAATTGAACAAATTTTTAAATTAAAGAACAAATTGAAACTCTTCAAAGGCTTCCTCACTGAACTTTGAGATGTAGCTTTAAATACCTCCAGCAAATGGTGACACATGGCCTTTCTGTATTCCTTTATTCTTAACACATTTTATTGCTCTGACATACCAAAGACAGACTGTTCTTTGAAAGTCTTGATACTTCCCTGACTCTGCATTTGCACATTCTTCTATCAGCCTCAAATGTCCTCACCCGCTACTACATCAGTATCATATCCATTGTTCTAAACCGACATAAGCATCATCTGCCTGTTCTCTTCAGCTGGAAGGAATCCTGCTCACCACTGGATACATAGCACATCATTAGTCTTTTCTTGTTTTATTTCTGTTTTTGTCTTGCTCCTGTCTTGTCAGTTTGTTTGAAGGTACTTATAGAATTCTCTGCAAGTCTTTTAAATATGGATTTGAATAAACACAGTAACTCATCTTGTCCTCTGCCACTGAGCATCTCACCTTGCTTATTGTCACTGTTTCCTTTTCTGAAAGAACAGTACTTATTGGAGTTCTGTATTAAGTAAAATATGCTATTTAAATATTGGCATTGCCAGGTATGGTGGCACACGCCTTTAATCTCAGCACTCCGGAGGCAGAGGCAGGCCAATCTCTGTGAGCTCAAGGCAAGCCTGGTCAAGTTACAGGCTGGGGCTAGAGAGAAACCCTGCCTCAAAATAATAAAGTATATATATAAATATTGGCATCATGTCTAAATTCTAATAAGTAATACTAGAATGTTAGCTTACTACCATTGTGTTATTTGAAGGAATGACAGACAGAGCAAGTCCTGTTACAAGCTCTACTTCAAAGTATCTTTTGAATTTCATGTCATCACACCACTGCCAATGCCACCACCACCTGCTACAGGCCAGTCATCTCCCTGACACTGTCGCTGTGCTCTTTCTCTATTACCTTGTCCTTTTACTTCTACTCTACTCAGAAGCTCTTACAAGCCTTTTAAAGCATAAATCAGATGAGTATACTTTTCTGCTCAAACTTCTCAGTGGTTTCCCCTAATTGACCAGGCCTCTGTCACTTACCCCTCACTGAGGCAGCCCCATGTCCATCTTGCCTAGAATTTTCTGCACTTTGTGGATTGATCACACAGGGCTTTGCATTTACCCTCTGCATGGGAGGGTTCCAGCTTGGCCTATAACTCACTTCATCATGTCTTTCAAGTGAGCCATGCTCTCAACTGTTGCCTCCTGAAGAGGGATCATCCTGTATAAAATTCCAATCATTACTCTCACTTTTTTCTTGTCTGCCTTATATGAAGTTTTGCCTTCCAGGGTTTCAGTTACATGTAGTTAACTAGTCAGAAGACATTAACTGGAAGATTTCAGAAGTAAACAGTTCCCAAGTTTTAAACTGCATGCCTACTGACCATCATGATGAAATCTCTCACAATCCCACACTGTCCTGCCTGGGATGTGAACCTTCTCTTTCAGTGTACCATCACTGTGTTCATGGCCTGCCTGACAGCCATTTGGTGGCTGCACAGTCATCAGGTCAACTATGGACGTATTATGGTGAGTCTATGCACGGTTCTGTGCTATCTGAGATTTCAGTCTCCAGTGAGGGTCTTGGAACATATCAGAGTATAATGGGGCGCTCACATGTATTTTTCTTAGTTCTTAATATGACCTGAAAATGTACATGTATTTTTACTGAAATAAGTTGTTTGCTGCCTTTCTGCTCTGCTAGAGCTGTAAATGCTGTGAATGTCTGCTATGTCCTGTCTCTAGAGCAGCAGGTGCAGAGTGTGTTCAATAAGACTTCTTGAGTGGCTGAATGGTGGGGGAGAACTCTTTGGGCCTTGGGTGAGGTTTTAAGGGAACAAACAGTATCCTGTTTCACAAGATTGCTTGCCTATCCCTGGGCTTATGTGATGACAAGAAAGTATGGGGTTGATTATTTAGAAGAAATGGGAAGGAGACAGTCTACTGATCTAGGCTTAAAGAACATGGTCACTTATCCATTCAGATGAAAATCTGGCACAAGTCAGGATGGTCCACAATGAACAATGTAACTAACACTCTAAGGCAGATGGTACAAAGTCTCACAGCCTCTTGGGATTTTTGTCCCTAGGCTCAGGACTTGCTAGGCTTTCCAGGCTTGGCAAAGTACATGATTATGAAATGCTACAGAAGTGTAGCCCCAAACTCACCATGACAGGCATCACTGGCATAAGAACACCCAACTGTTAAGCATCAGAAGAGCAGGGTGATATAGAAGCCTTGTGCTCAGGACATCTGAATCCTAGATGACTGCACAAGTGACATCCTTTCTGAATCTTAGCTAGGACTAAGGGAGGTGGGTTAGTTGTATACAGGGAGGTGGAACTGAATGTATCTTTAAAGTCTTCATTAGCATTGCCTTTCTTTGGTTATGTGAGCCCTGTGAATGAGACTGGACTGTAAGGGTGGAGCCAAGGCAGTGAGAAACCCAACATGGAGTCACCAGTACTGCAGCTGAGCAGTAGGAACTCAGCAGGGCCAGCAGGTGGTGCCATTGCTGCACCATGATGCTCAGGCCTAAGGGCAAAGTGATTTTCCAGAAAGCAAATGAATCCCTTGGAACAAGTTGTCCAGCCATCACAACCAACCACCACTCTACCCCCAGCACATACACACATTCCCCTTAAAGCCTACGCCCTCAGAAACTCAGGGTAAAATGATCCTGAGACCCAGCTGCTTCTTCTCTCCCTCCCATGTTTCCAAGGAATCCATTCCTGATACCTATTGCTTCCTTGATACCACTAACCAGGCCAGACCCGCAACTGGTCACATGCAGCTAGACGGAGGCTAACTAGACTCTATGTCCAATTAGCATCTTTCCTTTCTCTAATCCCCCGGACAGCCACCACCTTCTGGGCAAGGTCTAGCCTTCTCCCTTGGTTTCCCTGAGTCCTAGGGAGGAGCCTTCATTAGAGAAGTTGGAGAAAAGCCAGAGAGAAAGGAGGGTATGGGGAGGGGAGAAAGGGAAAAGTCTGGCTTTAGCAGGATAAGAATAAAAAATCAATCTTTGTTTGGCCCCAAACCCCTATCCACTGTTGACATACTTGGGATGTTTCCTGAGGCCCCTGAAAGTCAGCAGCAATCCTCCCCCACTTCCTGGGGGAGGGGAGTTAGAATTTAGAGTAGGCACATGCTTATGTATGGCTGCCTTAATCCTGGAGTTGGCAGCAAGCTCCAGTGTAGGCCTCACATAGTCTTTTCTGAGCTGGTTTAGGGGATGGTCAGGTAACAAAAGCTGCTTAGAGGAGGAAGGACTTCTTTCCTCTGTTTTTCATATTTTTGCATGTGGTACACAACATGTCCCTCTTCTCAGAAAGATGTTTCTGAATACCCAGCATGCTACACTCTCCTGAAGATCCTGATGCATTGGAGCCTACTTTTCTCTCTACTACTAAAAGCTTCCATCCTCTCCACCAACCTCTCAACCTCCCAACATGGAGAACAGTTTGCCACAGGTCCTGTACGTCCTGGCTGGTCCTGTGTCCCTGTGCTGACTTCCTTAGCTAGCCTCCCCCATATTGCTGCATAATCCCCCCAAAACCTGACAAAGAGGCCACCCTGTCACTCAGACATACTCAGCTTGATAGAACCACAGGACAGAGGTTTCAGCATCACTTTAATTAATCGTATTCACACTCATCACTTTTTATTCAGAAAAAAATCCACCCAATCTTGTCATCTCTGGAAAGTTTTTTTTCCAACCGTCATTGAAACCAGGACCCTTGCTCACCCTCTGAAAAAACAACAGAAAAGGATGTGGGTCAACCCCAGAAAAGAAGTCTGTGGTTTTTAAAGATATCCTGGGGCTCTGACAGCAGAGGGGGCAGAATAATGAAGGGGCTTGGGGTATAAGAGGTACATACAGAAAGGAGTCTGCTGGAGGACTGAGGCCACAACTTCCCCAGGAGTTAGAGGGAGGGGAGAAGCCATGGAGTTCAGAGAAGGCCAGGGGCCTCAGAGCAAACAGATTCCTCTGAAGGGCTCAGGTCAAGAGGCCCAGTTCAGTGGGGCCTGATGGATCAGGTCTACAATCCAAATTACTTGGGAGCCCAAAGCAGGAGGTTCAACAGTTTGAGGCCTGCCTTGGCTACATAGTTCAAAGTCACCCTAAATGAGACCCTGTCTCTAAATAATAGGGGGGAGAGGGAGGCTGGGAATATAGCTCATGGTAGAGCATATACCTACCATGTGTGAGGCCCCAGATTCAATCCCCAGCACCAAAGAAAAACAAAACAAAAAAACAAGAGGCTCAGCTTGAAGTCTGGCTCCATCCTTCTTTCTCTTTTGACTCAGTGAGAATCTCTGTGTGACCTCAAGCGACAAAATCGAGCTGTTGCTCTAAAACATGGAGCCTAGTTTCAGGCTCCAGACAGAAAGCTGTTCTGGCCTCTGCACACAAACATGCAGAAATCGGTGAGCAAGAGAGGAGCTAATGACCAAATCCACAGTGTCTTGAGGAATAATAAGGGACATGGTTTAAGACAACACACTTTTCTGGTTATATCATTACAAGGGAGTAGGTGCCAGGGGTTACCGTGGTTTCCCTTAAGTAGGGAAAAAAAAATAAGAGGGATAAATAGTAAAAAGCAAAGCTTCCAAGGAGGAAGTTGTAGCTTAGAAAAGTTCATACTTTCCTGAAGAGTTCCTGTAAAGAGGCAAGAGAGAAGGGGCGGGGAATCCATGGTGAGTGCAACATGCACCAACTTCCTAGCAACAGCTCTGGACCTGGGCTTCTCCCCATCACACCTTGACCCAAAATTCATAGCTTGAGTTCAAGGAGCCAAATGTGTAGAGGGCAGTTTATCTGCCTCCCCAAAGCTGGAGAGCCCCAGAAACAGCCTCTAAAGTGTGTATAGTGGGAAAGGGTAGGGCATGCAAGATGAAGGCAGCATGTGGTCAGAGGCAGAGATGCCACTTTCCGGTTTTGCCCGCCCAGCCAATTCACAGTTCTGTGTCAGCCACCACGTGTTGTCTTCCCGAATGGCCGTTTCTGGAGGTGGCCTGGCTGGTCCCGTTCTCCTGAGCCCCTCTGGTCACACTGGCCTTTCCCTGAGTCTCAGGGAAGGCCCCAGGTCCTGAGCTATAGCCCTGGCCTCCACCGTTCTCCGTGTAATAAGGGTCTTCGCCCTGGACAGTGTAGAAATAAAGTAGCATTATCTGGTAAGTAAGTGTGTGGGGTACTGTGAGGGAAGCACAAAGGAAATAGAGGATGGGGGAGGAGGGATGCAGCTGCATGTGCAGACTCCTTTCTTCTCAACAGCCATCAAGGTTCCAGCTCCTAGAGGAGAAAGGACAGAGGAGAGGCACCACACCATGCCACTGTGGCTCAGTTACCAGCCCCACAGATAACCACAGTCTCAGGAGTAGAAGAGCTTCTACAGGGTAGATACCAGCCAGAGGCTGAGTCAAACTTCAGCCTTGCCCTCATGCAGAACACTTCAAGAACAGATTTTTCTTCCATATGTCCCTTTCTTGTGAGCAAGATACCACCCACTGGGCATTCAATATGTTTGCAGATAATCATGTCAGAGTGAACAGCTTATTCTGTTGTTTCCAGCTGAACTATCCAGAACAGAATGAGCAGATGACATGAATCATCAGCTGTGACAGTGACTAGCAGGTCAGCTGGCCCAGTTTGTCCCTTTCTCCCATTTGTTCCTACTCTTCTGTAGATATAATGTCTGTGTGTGCATCCCCCCTCCTCCCCTTCATGGCATCAATGAACCTCCCCAGGAGATCTCTATCTTCCTTAGTTACTCTGCCCTGGACCCCAGCACTGACCAGCCTTTCTCCTGTGGGGCTCCAACTGCGACGGTTCATCAGGAAATAGCCAGTGGTGCCCAAGATGGCCAGCAGAACTCCTGAGGTGACCAATGCAATCAGGGTCTTTCGGGAATAGCTCTGGTGGCTCCCAACATCTTCTTCCTTGAAACTCTGGATCCCGAGCTTAAGAAGACAAAAAAGGCAACATGTCACTTGTAGAAAGAGAGTTCTAGAGAGAAAACCAGCCTACCCCAGACCTGGGTGCAATCCATCAGTAAATAGACACAAAAGGTCATTGGCCTAGAGATTTATGATACTTTTTATTTATTTATTTTTAAAATTTTATGTGTATGAGTGTATTGCCTGCATGTATGTGAGTGCACCCGTGCCATGCAATGCCGCGGAGGTCAAAAGAGGGCTTCAGATTCCCCTGGAACTGTAGCTAAGGATGGTTCGTAGCTGCCATATGGGTCTTGGGACTCGAACCTGGGTCCTCTGCAAGAGCAGTCAGCACTCTTAACCGCTGAGCCATCTCTCCAGCCCCTCTGATACTTTTTAATTAGCTGCACAGTAAAACTGGTAGTTGTCAGAGAAGGATGGAGAAGAAAAGGATGACTGGAGAAGGTGACTGTCTCCTCCCCTGACCCTGTCCTCCCTCTGAGACATATCATCTTGTGAACATACCTTTCTCAGGTCAGACTGGTGCTTTTCCATAAGTTGGAGTTTGCTGGAAAGTTCTAGAATTGGAAACAAGGGTTGCTAAATCTAGAAGTTAGTCTAGCTCATCTTCTGTATCTTCCCACCTTGTTCTAGAAGCTCTCACAGTCAAAGCAGTCCTTCTCAGACAGATGCTTCTTCCCAGCACCTAGAGTTTCTGAAACTGAGATGTAGGAGCTCTACCCAGGATCTTCTAACCTCAGCCCCATTTAACATCAGCCCTACTCAACCCCAAGGACCCTAGGTGGCCCTTACCTGTGCTGTTAGCCAAGACCAGTAGTAAGCACTCAGGCTTAACCTCGGACTGGGCAAGGAGCAAGGAGCACATGCCAGTCCCAGCCTCAGCCTCCACATCCTCCTTCCCACACAGTATTTGGATTAGGCCCTCTCCTTTTTCCTTCTTAAATTCTTCCTGGGAAGACAGAGAAAAAATGGGGGGAGGGGTAAAATTACAAGTAACTCTGAACCACATCTAAAGTCTCAGGTAATAATCCTGATTCAAGTCACACTAGTATGCCCATCGCAAGAAATTCTTCTTTCTACAATTCTACCTTAAAGCATTATTGTTAAATTATGTGCATCAACACAATAAAGACATGAATGTACACACAGGAACTATTACCTTATTCAAAGATTGTCTATGTATATACATGTTGTTCAAATGAATTCAGAATCACCAACAAGACAAAAGATTAATAATGCAGTCCTTTGCTTCAAGGTTACATCAGCTCCAAATGATAGAAGAAAAACTGAAAGGGGTGAGGACTAGAGAACACATCGATGAGTATCTACAGAGGAACCTCAGTGCTTCTTCCCTCTCATTGTCCCAGGAACATAGCCTTAAGCCCTGCTTACATGGACATGGTGTTCCACTGAAAGCATGGAAGCCAGTTTAATGACGGTCCCAGGCCCTCTTCCAAGTTGCTAACTTGTTTGTACACAGGACTCAGAAATTAAAAAGATAAAGTCCCATCATTCTTAGCAACTGAGTCTCAGGAACATCACACATTGAAGGCCTTGACTACATCCTTCCAAATCAGCTCTCCTGCTGTCCAGGACTTATTCCAGAGCCTTGTGTCAAGAAGCCTTCCCTACACAACCTAAACCAAGACTTTCTCCTGTCCTGATGGCAGATGGCAGAGGAGGAAATGCCTCATTGCTCTGACAACTTTCTTGTTAGGGGAAAACTGCTGGAGTGTGTGGTAGTCATCCATAGAGCCTCCTGGAGAAGGCTTCCTGTTTGCAGGGAAGTCTGTTGCCCGTAGTGAGGTCAGAGGCCCTCGCAGTTGGAAGGGAGCCTGGGTATTTTCCTTCTGTTGAGATCTGAGGCAGGAAAACCCAACTCCTTTGTGCCTACACCAAAGTCAAGATTGGCCTCAAGCCCTGGGGGATTTCAGGGAGCAGAATGAAAATAACTGGGTATGGATGAGGCCAGGAGGGCATGGCTGGTCTTGGTCTTACAAGCTCCCCCTACACAAAGCACTTAACCTGGCACCATGTTTTCTGGGGAAGGGGAGAGAAGATCACTCTGGATTCTTTAAGTGTCTGGTTAAACTGTTTACTTCCCAAGAGAAGAGGCATGGGGCTCCCTAAAGATCTAAAGTAGCCAAAAAAAAAAGGCCCCTTCCCCAACCTGTCCAGGGCTAAGAAGCTAGACCTTGAAAATTTTCAACTATTCTAACATTTACTAAGCCCTGGCTATTAGAACCTCCCCCCGTGTATGTGTGTGTGTGTGTGTGTGTGTGTGTGTATCCAGTGTGTGGTGGGGTGGGGGATAAGGGGAGAATTTATGAATTAATTCCACCTGATCAAAACTCTCTGTCAATATACATGACAGCTAATAAATGTCAGCTGCTGTGTCCAGGGCTCTGTCCTAGGTGTTTTCTTCATGCTGACTCATTTGGTTCTCCCATTATTCTAGGAAATGAGTAGTGTAATTCATTTTGTAGATGACAAAACTGAGGCTCAAAGACTACTTACCATAAAAAAAGAATAAACAAAGTACTTAGCCTTAAATATAGGGCAAGGGCACATTTGGATTGGTATTAGCAGAAATAACTAAAATTAGGCCTTGGAGAAGAGGCAGAGTATGCTCAGGTAGAGCTGGCAGAGAAAAGCATTTGGTTGAGATGCCCTGGAGGAAGCCTGGGTACAAGCATGCCCAGCCTCACTACAGCTTCAAGAAGGAAAGATACTGCCTTCTCCCTTACTGAACTCAAATATTCTTCCAAGACTGAACTCACATCCCATATCCTCCAGTAAGCTGGCCCTATCTGGCAGACTGGACATCAATTCTTGCTCTGCCATGTTCTAGAATCTTTCCAAGTCATCATCAACTAGTCTGTGTCAAGTTCCTCAGCTCTATATTGGTTGTTGTGGTAACAACAGCAGTAATATATGAAAAATGTCCAATATGTTGGGAACCTGGTTCACACAAGATAAATAGCAGCTATTACTATTATTATTAATCATAGTTCCTTATACGTTATCTAAAATCCACATTGTGATTATAGTCTGCCTTACTGTAGCCACCATTTTACTCTGACCAGACTCTAAGACTCTGAGTGTCTCTGTGGCAAGGGCAGGGGTGTTCTGAACTCAGACGGCACTGCACCAAACAAAAGAACTCAAAGACTTGTTCAACTTAATACCCCAACTGGTTGGCCCTTACCCAGAGTCCCTCCGCTCCTTGCTTAACTCCTTGGATTAAATTCAAGGGAATAATAGCCACCAGGCTCCCACTCTGGAATCCACCAGCCTCGGTGAATTGTGTTTGGACTGGAGAGAAGCAGGTGGATCCTGAACAAAACACAATGCTCCTCCGGATGGTCAGGATAAACATCCTCCCCCAAGAGACACTGTGGGCAAGCATCATCGGAGAGTGGGCAGGAGGAAGCCACAGCCTCACCATTTTGTTTATAAGAATCAGATTTAAGAGTTCCTAACTACATCTGCTTACGTGTTACTTTTGCAAAAATAATAAAAGCATCTAACGTTTCTAGAGTAGCATCCTCGAATTCTGCAATGTCGCCTAACATGCTAAAGAAGCACATCAAGCATCAGAATGGGGAGAGGTACAGACAAACTTCTCCCAATGTGGAGATTCTAGGATCAGTCCTCTTTCCTGAACCCACCTCTTTCAAAGTCATTTTATATTCTTTGATGTGTTAAATTTGACAATGCAGGCAAAACCCCTATCACATGAAGACTGGAGTAACTAAGGGATTATTGTCACAAAGTCGGGCAACAAATGGGCAATGAACCAAGGGCAAGAAGTTAGATTGTTTCCAGATCCCTCTTTCCAGTAGACACACTGCTTTCTATAGTCCTTCATCTGTAACTGATGTTTTCTGCATGGAAACTGACCTTTAGTATATGGGCAAAGGGCAAAGAAGGTAGAGGCTGGATGTGATGAGGGGTTAGAGGCAGCCTTTTCTCAGAGGCAGTTGGTGTAGCAAATGAGGGTAATGAGAGTGAGTTAAGCAGATACAAACTTAAAAAAAATAAAACCACCTAAACAGACTCATCTTTGCAAGTTGCATGGATACAAACACTGCATTTAACAGACATGGCACTGAACAGATTACAGTAGTTATAAAAACCAAATTTGTAGGCAAAGGACTTGACATATCTCCAGAGTTATACAAATGGTCAGAGAGCACATGAAAAGAAGTTCAACATCACTAATCATCAGGAAAATGTAAACTGAACCACAGTGAGATAATTCTTCATACTCATTAGGATGGCTACATTAAAAACAAAAACCAAAAAAGAAGTTCTGGCAAAAGAATGTGGAGAAACTGGGGCCCTTGTATACTGTTGACAGAAATGTAGAATGGTACAGCCACTGTGGAAAACGGTGAAGTAGACTAGATTATAACTCACTGGTAGAGAGCTTGCCTAGCATGTGAAAAGATCTACATTCAATTCCCAGAATGGCATACAATATCAAACAAAAGTGTGATACTTCTCAAAAAGTCATACGTAGAATTACCATATGATCCAGCAGTCTACTTCTGGGTATGTTCTGCAAAGAAGTAATTAGGGCGCCAAAGAAACATGTCCACACTTGTGTTCATAGCTGCATCATTCACAATAACCAGAAGGTGGAAAAACTCAAGCATCTATTGATGGATGAGTGGACAGACAGAAAGAAGTATACACATATGATGGACTATTATTCAGTCTTAATGTGGAAGGCATTTGTGACACATACTGCTCATATGTAGTACCTAGAACAGCCAAGTTCACAGAGACAGAAAGGAGAGTGGTGGGTACATGGGGGTGGGAATCATTTCATGGGAAGATGCAAAGAGTTCTGGAGAGACTGGCTGCAAGGTGTGGTGTGAATGTATCCAACATTACTGAGTTTTATTCTTAGAAATGGTTAAGGCAGTACTTTTTGTGTTAATGTATATTTTATCACAATTAAAAATTTTTGTGTGTTCCCATGGACAAAAGGCTCCAATAAAACAGAATGAACTAACCTTACACTTTAGAAACTACCTGAGGAAGCATGACCACAAACACTAAATTAAGCAGATAATGAAGCAGAAAAGATGAAAATCAGATCTGAGGAGACATGCTCTGCTAACAAAGGATCTGGGATGTGGAAACAGGCTTGAAAACAGCTCCACCATCCCCTCTCCTGACTGCCTGACAGTAAAGGATGGGGTGGGGGACAGTTGGAAGGTAACTGAGAAATCAATGTTACAGAATGTATGTACAGAAGACAGGTCTAAATGGTCCACAGAGGGACACCCAGCACCTTGGTTCTCATTATGCAGAATGAGGGTTGGGAGGGATGAGAACCATATACATAGTTCTGTTGAGACTTGTACTACATGCAGGTGGGTACCAATATCACATGATCCTAAAGGACATGGTAATATGGAAAATGAAATCCAAACTGTTCTTCATTACGTTATGGGTAGGACCTGAGTTTCCCAATAGTAGAACTTGCTGCCTTTGCATAAACTATCAGACTAGCAGGGAGTGGAACTCAAGAAAAGTAATCCTGAAAGACTGGGAGCTATTGCTAAAAATTCTGGATCCAGGAAATGGAATATTACCCCAGGGAGTATAAGGAGGCTCTGCTGCACGGAGCTTGGGAGGAAGTGCTTTCAAGATAAAAGGGATGGACAGTGATGAGAACACAAGGGGATAATAGCACTTTGCACATGTTCTACAGTGTTGGCCTTTGTGGGCAGTGTGAAAGCCTTCACTAGCATTCAACATAGGGGAGCTTCTCTCCAGATTCTACTCACAGATCCTCAGTCTCAAAGGAACATACAGAGAGCTTCTCAGCTCAAAAATGAAGCAGACTGACAGCAAAGACCACAGGGAGATAGAGAAGTTACTGCTGGAGCAGCACTTGTCTTAGACAATGATCTCAGTTAAGAGTAAACCTGAAGAACAGCAGACAGACATTGCAGAACGCACCACAGTTAGCTCTAGATCCTAGACACAAAGAAGTAGCATTCTGGCGTAGACCTGTGTGAAGCCCAGAAAAACAAATATTCAATCAAGATGATACATGAAATAAAAAAGATGGTCATTTCCCTTAGTTACTGTTAACTAAGGATTTGATTAGCTTTTTTCTCCTTAATGATTGCTTATTCTTTATTCATGCTCAAATGTTTTTGAAAACTGTATTGAATTATTCCATTCTGAAACTTGTGTCTTTGTGATTTCTGCAGTTTTTAAATGGCTTTAAGTTAACTGATCCTTTTAGGCATAACTTTAAGTGATTTGTAAGTCAGAGGTATCCAACTGATGGCTGCAGGTAAGATACAAGTCATTGGAATAGCCAAACCAAGTAACATATGCCTTCTCCAGTCTGAAGTCATTCCAAACTGTGCAGGCCACATGCCACCTCCAGGCTTCCCTTCAGTGTGGCCCCAGTTTAGATGAAAATATTTCCTGTATAAGAAAACAGCACTTTCCCTTATTTCTACCCTTCCTCCCAAGCCTTCGAGCCTTCTTACTATCAGGAAATAGGATTTGCTGAAACAGCAAAAACTAATGCCATGCTATGTAAATTCTAACCAATGTGGTTTGACAAGAAAGTGAATCAAGAACCATAACTAAAAAGAAAGAATAAGAAGTCACTGTGACTGATAACATGGTAGTTCACCTTAAAAATGAAAAAGAACCAACTAAAACGCTTTTAGAATTCATCAGCAAGTTCAAAAAAACAGGCAAACCAAAGATAATTACTCAAACCCCATTAATTTTCCAATATTTAAGCAACAATAAGTTAAAATATACATTAGAATATACATTTTATAAATGATCTTAAACTACATCAAACTTAAAGTGTTGGAGGCTGCTTCAGCAGTAGAGTGCTTGTCTAGCAGGTGCAAGGTCTTGGGTTCCATCCCAAGCAATCCAAAAGAAAAATGTATGTGTGGAGGAACTGGGGACCAGTAAGGAAACATTCTAAATTTTAAAAATGTTGTAAGATACAAAAGAAGACTAGGAAAAACTGAAGGGATTTAGACAAGTTTCAATTGAAATTCGCGTGGCTTTTTTTTTTTTTTGGATCTTGACAGGTATCTCCAAAGATCTTCTAAAATAAGAACTTAAAAATACACTTTTACAGTATAATGAGGGAAGATCTGTTTGGATATTAAAAGCACTGTAATGTAAATGCATAACAAACTTAAAATGGACAAATGTATGATCAACCTGAACAAATAAAAAATCTCTGAAGTGTATGACCAGTTCACATAAAAACAATACAAACAACAGAATATTCATTAAAGAGTTACATGTAAAAAACAATAACACATGAGCTGACATTTTAGTTGTCTGGTTCATCGATAGACAGTGAGGACTTTCTTAACATAAAAGCAAGTTTAAATCTGCCATCAAATAACAAAATGCATCTAAAATTGGTTTTGCCTTTTTTGCCCACCAGATGGGGCCTCTTACTGCCCAAATCCTAGGCTCAATATTACTTGTATCTGGTTAAGCTCCCAGTCTCCTTATCCAAGCCAGGCCAATCCAAAATGGCCTCAGGTGTTCAGAGAAGGGCAGCGAAGAAGAGGGTTGGGGTGGACTTACACAGCTAGATGCCTCACTTAGCTTCAGGCAGATGCCCTGGGCCAATCTCACTTCTCGGATTCCTGAACATTTGATTTCTCCCTGTATTAAAACAGACAATGAAGTAGATATGCAAGTACCCTTGCCTCTCATTTGTTTCCCACCTCCTCTAGTTTGATTTCTGTAAGGTACTCTCTTGAAAAGTTTAGGAAAAAGGAAATTTAAAATTTGTCAGGGGACTAGAGATTTTCATTATTTATTTATTTAGGTGTTTTTGAGACAGAGTCTTACTATATCACACAGGATGGACCAGAATTCACTATGTAGCTAATTACCCAGGGCTGACCTCAAACTCATGATCTTCCTACTTGGACCTCTTGATTGCTGATATTTTAGGCATATACCCAGTGGAATTATAAAAGCTGGATATCCTTAATCCAAAAATTCAAAATCTGAAATGTATCAAAATCTAAAACTTTCTGATTTCTACTGTAATGTCACAAATGGAAAATACCACACCACAAAACTTTTGTGTGCATGAGGATTTTTGAAAAATGTTATATAAAACTACCTTCAGACTAAATGTATATAGTATATATGAAATACAGATGAATTTAGTGTTTTGATGTGGGCTTCTAAGATATTTTACTATGTATTCCAAAATTAAATAGTCCCCCCAAAAGAAGCTGGACCCAGGCTGGAGAGATAGCTCAGCAGTTAAACGCACTGGCTGCTCTGGCAGAGGATCTGGGTTCGATTCCCAGCACCCAGACGATGGCTAACAATCATCTATAAACCCAATTCCAAGGGATCCAACACCCTCTTCTGACCTCTGTGAGCACTGCATAACACAGATGCATCTTTCTAAATGCAGGCATTATACTCATACACATAAAATAGAAAAATTATAAAAATAAAAAGCTGCACCAAAGATTTTCAGGTGAGGGTCACTCAGTGTACTGTTTCAGTGTTCACCCCATCTCACATTTTCCTTATGAGAAAATAAGCCTCTTGTTACTAGCCCCAGCCATAGGCAAGATGCTGTTTGTAATCTTGGGAAGCCCTGGCTTGGATGATGCAAAAAGGGGAAAGGGGAAGATCTTTTTTGTTCTGCAGTCAGTCATACACAGACAGGGGTGGCCAGGCAGCTACAGGTAACACCTGTTTTTTTTTTTTTTTTTTTTTTTGTTTTTTTTTTTTTTTTTTTTTTTTTGGTTGTTGTTGTTGTTTTTCTGTTTCTTAGGAGTCCCTACATTCATCCCAGGATGGCTCTTTAAAAACAGAAACCAGACAGGCTCCTCATGCATGTCCTTAGGCCCTATACTCTCATACTTTCTGCCCTTCAGGCTGAAATGTGTTGACAGCCACAGGCCCAAGGCCAAGAAGAGCAGCCTGAGCTCACCATCCTTGTATGTCCAGTCTTTCTCTCTGCTGATGATATCCTCACTGCCATTCTGTACCTGGAACAGTCACTAAACCGTCTTATGTGGAGGAAACACTTTGCCTTGAGTATTTCAGGAGAGGCATCCCTAATAAATAAGGGTTGGATCCAAATACTCTCAATGAGAAATGTTTCTCAGAAGAAACAGAGGACCAGATGGATCGCTGAGACCCTCCCCAAAATGCAAAACCCAAAGCACAGATCAGACTTGTCACTGGACTCTACCCTTTTTCCCATCTTCCTCAGACCATCCTAGACATACTTAATGTGCACACTCCATGATGATTCCAACATAACCTAAATCTCATTGTCCGGTATGAGGACAGGGGAAGGGAAAAAGCTAGCTCACATGCCTATGAAGTGAGGGGCAATCTTCCATTTCTGGTCCAACTCACTCACCTTGGTGGTACTTGAGGCAGGAGAAGATGATGGGTATATATAAGGTTCAGTGGATGATGTCATCCTGGAGCTGGTGTTACTGGGTGAATAATCAGAAACATTTACAGGTGGCATGCTGGACTTCCAGGTCATCTCTGAAGTGGAAACATTGTCTGGAGTGGTGAGTGAGGTGAGGGCTGGGGATGTCTGTGACTGCAGAGAAGGATGTGCTGTTCCAGAAACTGAAGGACTCTCAGAGGTAGCTGTGAAGTTGACCATAGTCTCTGGAACAGACCAAAACACAAGTGTGTGTATGTGCATGCATATGTGCAGTACATTCAGGAACACACAATCTCTCTTTTTTATGGCATGGCATGGATTTCTGCACAGAAACAGGAGTTTGGTGAGGTAACGGCTACTTCATTCCCTAACTTTGACCCAACTTGTTTCAAGTCAGCTGTTAGAACAAGTATGTCCAACCTTATTTTTTGTTTGTTTGTTTGTTTTTTTTAATGGTGTTTTTGAGACAGGGTCTCCCTGTAGTCCCAGCTGGCCTAGAACTTGCTATGTAGACCAGGTTGGCCTTGAACTCACAGAGATCTGCCTGCCTCTGCCTCCCAAGTGCTGGGATTAAAGGTACGTGCCATCATGCCTGGTTTAGAACAAGTATGCCCAACCTTTTAACACTGCTACATGACATTATCATCTACAAATATGTTGGGCTCTTTCTTGCTGTTTGTGTTTTTATACTAGATGGAATCCCATTGAAATGGGCCAACAGCCCATGGAGAACAGATGATGCAGAGACCCAAAAGTTCCATACCTTGCCACAATGGGAGGAAGATCATTTCATACCTATCACCCCTCTCCAAGGCTCGGGGACTTTTTGAGGGAGAGGTTGGTAGAAAGAATGTAAGAGCCAGAGGAGAGGGTGTAGTGTTAACTGGAAGTATCCTCCGACCAATATGCTGGCAAGCTATAGTCACACCTCCTTCTCACACTCCTCAAGGAGTACATAGAGGAGTCAGTTCCCTCCCACCCAATCTAGTCGACTTTAGCCGCATGTGGGGGAGGGGCTAAGGATATATAAGCCAAGAATACCATGAGGCACATCCTCACCATTTTGTGCAACTGTCAGGAAGTCACAGGATCTGTATTTGAGTGTGGACTTTCCAGCATAGCCGTAAATGGGGTGGGAAGAGCCCACTATTCTGTAGATAAACCCCTACCCGATTCTCTGTTAGCAATCCCAATAAACTCATTAGAATTGTCTTAAAAAACAAAAACAAAAAAACAGAGCTAATGGAAACCTTCATTATTCCACCCAAGTTGATCCCATGTTAGCAAATCCTTTGGGCTTTGATTTCTTATTCGTATTCTGCCTCCTTCCCACTTAAACGTCATTGTATATATATTTTTATGTAACCTGCTTCAAGTTATTTCTGGAAAAATGTGTTAAAAATTGCCTCTCTTTGGAATTAAAAAAAGAATATATATGTTTACTTGAACAAAGAATATATATGCTTACATGAAAAAATAAATATGTTTAAAAAAGAATAGGAAAAAAAATATGTTGGGCTCTATTCATAGCTATCCTGGGATGCATGCTCCCCATGGGCCTCAGATTATACATAGATGATTGAGAATGTATCTAAGGTGGCCTCCATATTTTGAAAGTGAAATTGATGCTGGTCTATTCTATAGAAGCCAAAGATCTCCCATTTGATCTCAGACATACCTTCTATCACTTAGAAGAGACCAGAGTCCTCTATAGTCCCATCTGATCCACTTTTACCAGCTGAACTCAGCATATGAAGAACGATCCTGTTCAGGACCCACTACTCATGCATGGCCTGTGAATGTTGCCACCATAAAGAGAGTCATTTAGAACTTACTTGAGTACTCTTGCATGAAGCATGGTTTGTGTTACTTCATCTGTGGTAGGAGATAGGCAGAACTAGCAGTACCACTTTTAGATCAGATTTTCTCTTGTTACCTGAGATGGTTGGTGTGGTCTTCTTGCTGTCCTGAAGGGCAGAGTAGTTGCTGGTACTTTCAGGGGTATAAGGTATGGCAGTTTCCTCTTTGGACACATTTGTAGGAACAGATGAAAATGTTCCTAGGGCAGAGGACTCTGTGGCAACAGAGGTCAGGTTGTTTGTATTTGTGAACCCGGAGGCTACAAGGAAACAAGAAAAGTTAGAACCTGAGCTTCCTGGAACCTTGTGATTGCACCTGATTCAACTCTTGACTTTAGGTGAATCTGCCTGGAGCACTCCTTCTGACAACGGCAGACTAGCTTCCAATTACTAGGTTTTTCGTAAGAAAATATGCTAAACATTTGTAAGTACACAAGTATCACAAATAATCACAAATAATTTATAAAAACTGTAGCAACACAGAAATGTAAGGCAACATTTGTAATGTGTTTAGCAAAATACTAAGATACAAAATTTCACCTGCATAAACATTGCAAAAATTGGAAAAGAAAGAGAATGTGCTCTTATTTCCCTTCAATATACACTCCTCCATACGTTATACTATAAACACTGAAATAATCACAGGATTCACATTCTCCCTATTCACATCCCCTTAAAAATAATTAATCCTTCTCAGTCTTGCTCATTCCCAAACTCTCACAACCAGCAAACCAATTGTCTTTTCCCTTAGCTTTAAGTGAACAACCTGGAGGTTTCTTTCAGGAGGTTCTAAGCTGGGAATCTCCTTGATGGGACTAGGGAACCAAGGTCTGGTTTCTCATCCCATTACATTGTGGAAAGCCACAGAGCTTTGTCTGGCTCTGTCAGAATTGTGTGTTCTCATGCACATGTACTTCAATTTAATAATCCCTAAAACGGGTCTTTGATTGTCCATCTATGGGCCAGATTTTTGGGCAGGAAGAAGGGAAGGGAAATGAGCTGGGGCCCGAGTCCTTGTCAAAAAGAAGGCCAGGGAAGTAGGCCCATCTTTCCCAATCAGCTATGGTGTGGCTAAATTCCATAGGTGTGAAAGTTTCAGATTCAAAGCTGGCTTTCCAGGTGGCTGAGAAGGTGGGTGTTAAAGTTTGAAGATAGAGTTTTAGCATTTATCAGTCAGGTGGCCTCACATATAGCTGTGAAATATTCAGACATATAGGATGTGGGGCTCCTTTTACCTTGGCCAGGGGTAAACTTAGGTTCTGTAGTCATACCTGTAATACAATTTCCAAGGAAAAGCCCCAAGTGGTGGTGACCCTATAGCTGGCTTCTACATTTCCTGGTAGAGATCTTACTCTATTTTTTAGTTTTAAAGGTCAACATCAAAGTAGAAGGAAACTTAGTTTCTCCCTCAGCATCAGGAAAGAAGTTAGAAGTCAGATTTTCAGCTTCTAGTCAACTTGAGGCCAAGAATACTTCCCATAGGGAGCTAGACAAGCCTTGTGTCCTACATACATCTTCCTCCGAACCTGCTATATGTAGACTGATCTTGATGGGGATCACAGCAATCATATCTTACTATGTGTCAGTAAGCAGGGTAAGAAGTGATATTATTTTATTCATCCTAGAGATGAAAAACCACAGAGTTGTCTAGGAGGGAAACGCATGCAGGCTAGCAGCAAAGGGCACAGATTTTGCTGACTTATGTTACAAGGTAGTCAGGTTGGGTCTAAACTGTTAATGATTTGGATACATCCTCAAAACCTTTGGAGAGAAGAGGAAATGTGGGTTCCTATGTGACTTAGATGAAGAAGCCAACCTAGGTTACTTCCTTCTTTAGATATGACCTCAAAGCAACCTGACCCTAAAGCATGAATTCATTATAGGGGCAAGTGGTGGTGACATTCAGACAGTGAATTAAAGGGATCATACTCTCAGTGCACCATTCTAAGATACCCCTTGAATTCCCCTTTGAGACATTTCTTTCTGCCCACACCCTCCTCGAACATGTCAATTCCTGGGAATCCCATCTGGTCTAGGCTGGCCCTACCCTTCTTCTCCAAAGGAAGCTGGGCCTGGATGAGGTGATGTCATACTTCTGAACCTCTCCCCAAGAGGCCTCCTTCACCCAGACAAACACTTTTGAACTTTTCCAGATGTGAAGAAAGACCTGCTGCTAGTTCTGAAGACAGAGGTGCCTGTTCCAGAAGAGTGAAGCAACTTGAGATCCAAGCCAGCTATGGACCTGCTGGGGACAGGCTCCCAGTTGTAGCAGCCTCCTCCCTTCTACTCTGGTCAGACTGTAAATGAAAAGAGGACACCAGCCTCAGATGCACAGTTCTGAGCCTAGGGAAAGCAGCAAAGCTTGTGAGGCTGCAGGAACAGGACAAAGAAGGGCAGAAGGAAACACAAGGCTAAGTGAAACTCTATGTATGAACTGACACAGGAATACTGTGACCACAAGCCAGAGCCAATCTTGATTTACACACTACAGTACGGGTCCTTTTATATGTCCTTGAGCCTCAATCTCCAGGCCTCTTTTGCAGAAGCTGTGGGTCCTAGAGGAAGGCTGTCCTAAGACTGGTAATATATTTTTGTTCTCTCTACATATATCTACTGCCTTAAATCATTAAACACTGGTCTTTAACAGAACTTTTGAGCTTGCATGCTGGAGGGGAATAACAGCAGCCTAACCTCATTGAGAGCCTTGCAGATGCTGAAACACTAAGGGGGAATCTCCCCTCCATTCCAGGTGGACCTAAGGAAGTACCCTTCTTCTACCGCTTAGGAATGAAGTTCTGCGCTTGAGTTTAGTTCCCAGACTGTTCTGTGCCATAGCAAAAACTCTATCTGACCTCGTTATCCCATCAGATCCTGACTCACAAACTTGAAACAAGGGAGGACACAAACAATCAGGAAATTAGCAAATGAGAATCCGAAGACACCAATCAGGTATCACGAACAGAATCTGTGTAGTAAAATTCACACACTGACCTTACAGGTAGTTAGAAACAATTACTCTTGCTCACATATAATTCTAATAAGCCTGGTTATCTTGCTTGATATTCCAGTCAAAATTGAAAATTAGAAACAAATAAGGAGAAACAATGGCTGAAAACTAAGAAACTGAAATAAATGAAAATCAGACCCAAGCACCAAACCCACACTAGTCCGGAGTTATTTACGGTTAGAGTAAATAGAAATACACACCTTACTACATATTAAACATGCGACTAACTACAACAGTCACCTTATTTTCATGATTCACCTGGGTAACAAAGGTTAAAAATCTTTGGGATGAGGGGATACTCTGAGGAAGCAGAGGCATATGCAGTAGATTTTGAAAATATTCCTATCATTAATAAACTGGAGATTCTTTCAGTCTTGACAAGAGTTACAAATTGTAAGAGATCTAGCAAGTTATTACCTAAATAACCAATTTTCAGTACTCTAAATGACTTGGCCTTAATTTTCCACATCTCCTTAGTTTTAGAGTTTTGGAAGGGTATTTGATTATTTGTTTTAGGCAGGGTATCAAGTAGTGCAGGCTGGCCTCCAACTTGTTATGTAGCTAGGGATGGTCTTAAACTCCTGATCCTCCTACCTCTGCTTCCTGAGTTATGGGATTACTTATTACTACCATTTCAGACTAGTTTCAGGCTTTCACTGATGCTGTTTTCTGATCTCACCTCACCAGCCAGCAGCCTCCAGCTCTCCAGCTAGGTACTTTGGGGGTATCTGAGGTGAAAAGCCCAGCCCTGGGAGGTGAGCCACTAACCAATGATGGGAAAGCAGACCACCCAGAGACAGAAAGCCCATGTAGAAAGTTGGATGCTCCAGATGCTTCCCTCCTGTTCTAGCACTGTGTGGTTCTAAGGCCACTGCAACTCAAGTTTCTCCACTAAAATGGGATCAAAGCAGACCCTGCCTCCTGGTTGTTCTGAGGAACAAAGAAGGTAAGGAAGTGTGAAGTAGCCAGCCTGTCTGGCCCAGAACGATCATCATGACAGACTCCTTCCTTCTGCTTTCCCAGAGCTGGGACTTATCTCTGTCACTCATCTGGCACTAAGTCACACATGCTGCTTCCTTGCAAGAGGTTTAACTGCCACCTCACTTAGGTTATAAATTTCTTGACTGTCAGGACCTTTTTTACACATGTGTGTTTTACTCAGAAGCTTTACATTCTGGGGCGTTAGGATAAGCAGAAGGGTGGAGCAGCACTGCTCATGCCTAACCACCTCCAGGTACCAGGTCTCATTCTGATGCTCTGGTTTAAAAAAATTTTTAAACTTATTGTTATTATTCTTGCACATGTATGTGTGGTGTGTATATGTATGTGAGTGTGGGCACACATGTTCCATAGCACATGTGGAGGTTAGAGGATGACTTGCAGGAGTCAGTTCTCTCCTTCTATATGTGGGTCCTAGAGATTGAATTCAGGTCCTCTCTTGCCTGGCAAGCACTTTTACCTACTGAGCCATCTTGCTGCCCCTGGTGCTCTTTTTAAAAAAAAAATGATTAAACTGGGGAGTGACTGTGTAAAGATATCTAGTTATCTTCATGTAACTAGGGAAGTTCTAGAACTCTAGTCACATTGCTGAGGGCCTGATGTTATTTTATCCAGCTCAGGAGTTGGCAAACTATGGATCATGGAACAAATACCCCCTCAGGGGCTGATGTGTGACCAGTCAGTCAGGCATGGCTTCAGCATTTTTAAGTCATAAAGTAAGACAAAATGTCATAAGCATCAGAAGTCACAATCCACACCCTAAACCCGAGATATTTGCTGCTGTCTGGTTTTTTATAGGAAAACTTTGTAAATAACCTTCTTGGAGACTCATTTCACTTTCATAATATGTGTATTCTTTTCTCTTTAAGCACCAAGGACATGTAAAGAACTTCGGTAGGTTCTGAAGAGAACACAAAATAAGGGACCAATTGAATCCTTTAATGTAATTTAAACAAATTCCTCTGGGAGTAGGGTCGACTAGAAAGGTTTTGAGAGATTTTCCTGAAGAACCAGATTCAATCTTGGACAATCCAAAGAGCAGAATTAGAATAATGATTAGAAGCCATAGAAAAGTTAATTTCACAACAACATAGTTAAATGGGATGAGCTCATTGGTAGGTAAGTGAGCATGCAGAAAAATTCTTGTTAGGGTCCCCTTCATACCTGCCATCTACCATGAGTTTGAAACATACTGGACAGGCACAAAGGGTTGGGCTGAAATCTTCTGCAGCTTTAGAAGCAAAGTAGAGGTGTCAGTGTAAACCAGCCTGAGCTGGTACACTGGGATTTCCCCTTTACAGTCAAATAAATAGCTTGTCTTCACCTCATCTATTTCTGTGGATCCTCAGGACTCCTACGTTTCTCCCACTTGCTCCTTCCTCCATTTTCCTGGCATTACTGACAGCACCATGCTTTGTTCTGATCACTACCACCACTATTGCAGGTTAACCAGCCAATTACCCCTTCCTTCAGCCTCCCTTAGTCCTGCACAGACAAGCCTAATATATGTAGACAATTTTCACTGAAGGTTGGAGAGCATGGAGCAACATTATAGGGCAGCCAGAAGAGATAAGGGCATAAATTTGAAATGTTGGTGGATGCTGTGCTAATGACTCCTTTGTATAAGAAATCTCCTTGGCATCCTCCAACCCTGAGGGTACCTCACCCCTCTCTATGTTCTTCTTGGGTTCTAGAGCTTTTCTGCCACTCTCTTGGCCCACCCCCAAACAAAGCCTCATATCCCTCTCAGCCACCCTGCCTCTTGCCTGCCCTTGCAGAGCCAGAGCTTGTCTAGGGTTCTAAGATTTCTTCTTATCCAAAGACCCATTTACACATTTTCTTAAGAAATGGACCAAGATGCCACTTCCCTAAAAAGCTCCAGCTTTTATTTTATTATTTTTCCACACCAGGAAGGAGCAGACTTCCCAGTCAAGCCAAGAAGGCTTTACTTTTGCATCGTTAGGGAAGTGATTCATTCCCTGCCCATCCCCCATGTAGATCCAGGGAAATGTACCTTGCCAGGCTTCCCTATTTGTTTGGAGCACCACCCTCTCAAGATACATGCACTATTCTCCTTACAGCACAGCCATTTTTAAAAAAGGACATTATGCTTTCACTTCTTAGCCAACAAGAGAAGAGTTATCATTAGAAAAGTCAAAGCTCCTGAAAATATGTAAATCCTCCCCTGGCCACTGTGAACATTATTTTAGAAATGAGTTTGTAGGTTTTTTTCCCCATACCTTCATATTTTTAGTTTGCCATGTTGCAGGGCATTTAGCTAGATAAACCAAAGCTAATGAGAGAAGGCCCAAGTACGGAGCCTGGAGCTGGGGACCTAGTCATCTCTGAGAGTAAGTCCAGGTCCTAAGGCCCAAAGTCCAAAGGAAATCAGGCAAGGAAACCATAAGCAGTGGAGTTTGTTCTTTTTGTTTGTTTTTCTAAGACTCTGTGCCTAACTTTTATCTGTTGCAGTTTGGCACTCTTTGCCCTCATCCTTTGGAGACAAAGACTCACTCAGGAAAGGAAGGCAACGCAGACACCTCAATGAGTAGGCCCTGGGGTGGAGCCCAAGGGATAAGGGCCCTGCCTGCTTATCAGCCAAGCAGGAATGCTGCTTAAGCAGAAGATATGCACTAGCATAGGCTGTACAGTCTGAGTTAGCACTCCAAGGAGGAGGACTGCGGAGCACTGAGGACCACTGAATTACTCAGCTGTCCCCAAGCTGTAACTCCTCCTTACCACGTGGCAGGGAATCAAAGGGTGGAGTCCTCTCCCCTCTGGAAAATATCTGATAAAATTATTTTCCCTTTTCTTTTTCTCCTCTCATATGCAGCCCCAGACAGGATATGGGTGTGGGGTAGGCAGATATGAAGGACCCAAAGGAAGAAAAGAAATATGAATACACACTGGGGGTGGTGTTAGGGTAAGGGAAGAGACAGGTCTGGGGAAAGGATACCCAAATAAAAGGGGCCCTTGGTTACCTGAAAGACCTCTAGTTCAGCTGGAAGATGGCAGTGCAGCCTGTTCATCCTCAGCTGCCACCCAGTCTCTGGTCTCTGATCTCTTACCCTTGAGAAAGTGCCACTTGTAGTTGGCTAGTAGGTGTTTGTGCCAGCTTCTCAAAGAGACAGAAGAAACTTCTCCAGAATGAGTTTTTTGTAGTGATATAAACACAGAACTCCATTCTACACCAAAGCTCCCAGTAATAAGATCACTGAAATTTTGCAGTTGCCCACTGCTAGTATTTTAAGGTACATACAGACACTGGTTTAATTTATTCTACAATGTATCCCAGGACAGAAAATAACAATATTAACAAACAAAAGAATTCCAACACAAACCCTACGAAGTTCTTGGGGATGGCACAAAGCCCAGGCTGACCCACGGAGCCTGGACAGGTTGGCAGTGGTGGCCCTTACCTGGCCCTTCACCCTAAAGCTGAGACATTGACATAGAGGTTTTTCTGCTCCCCCCACCCCCACCTCTTCAACTCAGGCTAAAACTGGCTGAGGAAATAAGAAAGGGAGCACTCCACCCAGCCTGGGTCACTGCTGAGCTGAGTAGTCAAGCGAGTAGAAAGCATCATATGGGAACTCCAGGCCATGGGCAATCCACTTGTGCTATGAAGGCCCTCATAGCCCTTAGCAAGTTTTGCTCCATTCCAAAGGGAATGTCCAGGGCTGCCGATCAGTTCAACACGGAACCCAATTCAGTTTCTCTGCAGTCAGCTATCTCTCTGGGGTGGGACTCAATAGCAGAGGGGGCTGAGAGCAAAGGGCCTTGTGGCAGGTCCAGGTCAGTCTGCAGAGGAGTGACTTTTAGGATGTATAGTGGAGAACTTAGAGCCCTGAGGTGATTAGAAGCAGAAGGGAGAGCAATTCCAACATTGGAAACCTTTGTGCATGAGTGTCTACTATTTTTGCCAACCAAAGTGAGAGGAAGAGCTCAAGAAGTAGAGTACACACGGGTAGGGGTGGATGTCCTGGCCTGTCCAGCAGCTTTAGAATCTGGAGGGGAACCGGAAAAAAACTCCCAAGCATTGAGTGCTGGTTTGTGTGAGAGAAGTGGGGCGCACATCAAACCAACTCCCACAACAGGATCTGTATGGTGTCTGCTGGGAAGACTCTAACTTTCTAATCTTAAATGAAATTTCTTCTTTTTCTCGGCCTGTTCTTCATTTCAAACTGCTCCACTCACCTCCCTCGGCCCACTTCGTGGGCCTCTTGGCCCTCATTAGGATTGACTGCCCTCACACTTCTTATAATCCAGTCTGTTCCCAGTCTTGGGGGAAATGGGTCCCTAAACCTTACTCTGTGTCCCGCTCTGGGCCCCTGCTTGCTGAATCAAGCACAGTACACAACTTTCCCGCCCTCCCATTCGCATTCTGGCTCCAACTTTGAGCTCTGCACTTTTGGCCATGAAAAGAGGTGCTCGCATTTCCCAGAGCTCCCAGAGGAGGCTCAAGCCTCGCTCCTGCACGGAGTCCCAGGTGAGGGCAGCGGAAGCCTTTCCCTGCCTGGCCCAAAGCCTGCCCCCCCGCCCCCCCCGCCCGCGGTACTCACGCAGCAAACTCAACAGGCAGAGCGTCGTCCAGCCCCACCGCAGCTGCAGACCCACGCACGCGCCCCTGCGGACCTGCATTCTCGCGCGCCGCTCTGGAGATGCGCACAGTACAGGACACCGCTGGGCGCGGGATGCACTCCTCCGCTCCGCGCAGAGGGTGGGGGATGCTGGCTCTCCTCCCCTGCTCCCTATCCAGAGTGGGTGGGGGATGCTGGCTTTCCCCTCCTTCCTGTTGCGTCTTGGCTAGGCCAGCCCCTCTTCTTGGCTGCTGCTAACGTGAGCTGCTGGTCAGTCCAGAGGTCCAGGACCTGAGCAGTGAGGTTGGGCTGACGGCACTTTAGAAGTTGTGCAGCTCTACCGCCTAGTTCAGCAGATTGGAATACTAGGTCTTCAAGCTCCTTCGCTTCACTTTTAACCCTGTGTCACCCTTAGCTGTGGCTCGGCGTGGGCAAGTTTCCTCTGGTCTCCCCTATCCTTTTCGGTTCCTTTTCTTCATTTTCAAGTTTTAAGTGTGGTGGAAGGAAGCCACTGTGAGCCTGAGTTTACAGGTGATTTAGCTAATCAGGTAACACCACGTCTGAAGATACTCTTAATAATAGTCCCAGTAGATACTGTGCTTCTTGTTAAAGGTGAGTAGGACATCAACACTACTGTAAGAGCCACTTCACCCATCCAGTCCATCTGGTCTCCATCCGTCTCTTTTTCCCACTTACTTTTCCAGCAAGATCTACAGAACAGTACTTTAAAATTTTTTCCTGAGCATCCATATTTTCCCATTTAGTCTGACTATTGCAATTAACAACACAAAGATAGTGTATTTCACATTACCAGTGTCCCCTCTCCAATCCTGGATCTAAGCCTCCATAGTCTTTACCTCCTCTCTTGGGTCTCCCACCCAGGTCTCCTGGGCTCCCACCCTTCCCTATCTAATACACTCTGAGCTTCCTGTTCCTCAGCAGTTGTTGTACATGTTACTGCACTGAACTGCAGGATTCCTAGCTGGGCAGTCAGCATAGTCACAGACTAGTAGGTCAAGGAGGAGAAAGTTGCCAAGCTATGCAGATGATAGCACCTGGAGGAAGTTAAGATAAGGCACAGAAAGAGGGTGGGGAGGGGGGCATGCTCTGTGAACGGGATTGCAAATACTCAGCCCCACTTTTTCATTAATGTCTGATCACATAGCCGAAGGAGGAGAAAAGGAAGGTCAGACCAGCACCCTGGAGTGCCTTTTTATTTATACCTCTGTAGATCGCCCTCCATAAGGAAAGTAGTTTGTTTTATTGCCAATCTCAGATTTAATGTACTTTTGGGTTGAGGAGAAGAAGGCTGTCTATCCCCAAATCTATATTCTGTCTGATGCTATTGCACAGTGTTCCCAGGAAGGGGGGGGAGAGAGAGAGAGAAAGAGAGAGAGAGAGGGAGAGAGAGAGAGAGAGAGAGAGAGAGAGAGAGAGAGAGAGAGAGAGAGAGAGAGAGAGAGAGAGAGGAGAGAGAGAGATTCCATATATAAAGATTTCTGAACACATGATTCATACATAACCAGAAACAAGCGTGAGAGCCAATAATCTGTGCTTGGAGTAAGTTCTTTCTGTCATTCTTAGACACACTAAAGTTCAAGAGGCCTTGGAATAGAAAGAAGACATGCTAGGTAACAAAGCAGTAAGGATGAAGTTCAGCATCAGGGAAGGAAAATGCATACAGACATCTGGGATGCTGGAAATCTATTTCTCAGAGAAACCAGAACTGCATAGCTATAAAGACTTTAGAATATAAAGCTGGATGGAGGACTGGCCCTCAGCATGCAGTCACTGATATTCATCACCCAACCATTCGCAAGTACTAGTTCTGGCCCCTAGGCACAAGTCCACTTTGGGTCTCAGCCTTATGCCACCTCACAGTCCAGGTAGAATTGCACTACCAAGTCTCTTTAAAGCTCTGGTCTTCCTGGACTGCCCTTCAATATCCCTCCTTTCATATTCCATCCTGTAAGTTGTCAGAAGGCTTTAGCTATTGTAGCTACACACCACCCAAAGCAGAGTGTGAAGGAGGAATGCACTGAGAAAGTCAGGCTCTCTGGGACCTTTTGTTTACCCTTACTTGTAGGTCATGATCACACTTATCGTTGGCTTTCTACCTACCCCACCCCAAAACACACACATATTAAAACAGATTGTTAAATATAATGCCTTTGATGTGAAAAACAGTGAGTATCTTAGGTCATTGTTTATTAACAAAATACCCAAGATGGATTAATTCATAAGGAATAGAGAATGTTGGAGGTAGGAGGACGGGGAGTCAAAAGTCATCGTTAGCAATATAGCGACTTTGAGTCCAGCCTGGACTAGATGAGACCCTGTGTCCAAGGACCTCACCCCCAAAATAAGAGAGAGAAAAACAAGGACAGGGGTTTATTTTGATTCATTGTTCTAGAGACTGGGCAGTTCAAAAGCATGGTGCCTGCATCTACTTGGCATCTATTGGGAGTCTTCTTTTTAAAATTAAATTTAATTTAATTTAAATTTTATTTTATGTGTTATGTGTGTTTGTCTGCATGTATATAAGTGCATCTGTACTTGCAATGCCAGCAGAGGGCAGAAGAGTGTGTTAAATCCCCTGGAACTGGACTTTCAGACAGTTGTTTAGCCACCAGGTGGATGCTGGGACCCAAACCTGGATACTCTGCAAGAGCAACCAATGCTATCAACCACTGAGCCATCTCTCCAGCCTCCTAATGAAAGTCTTTTGGCTGCATCATAGCATGGCAGAGAGCATCACATGGCAAGACAAAGCAAGTGAGCCAGAGTATTTGTATCAAGGCCAGGTCTCTGACTAGCCCATTAATCCATGAATCCATGGGTAGTTTCATTCATTTACCAGGGCAGAGCCTCCAAATACCATTAACATCTGAATTTTCAGATTAGGACATGAAATTTAGGGGAACTATTCAAATCATAGAGGTTGATGATTTTAATAACCCTGAGTTTTAAAATGTACTCATCATTTTGTCTTTATTCCAAGCCTTATCAAATTTGTATAAAATTATTAAGGAGTAGAACTACAGTTTTCACTAAGTTTAGCTTTTATAAGAATTTAATGAAGCATTTATTAATTTTTATTTTTCCAGTTTCCTACTTTGAAACCAAAGCCCCCTCCTCATCCTCATGCCCCCATGTTACAAATGTTCTTTTGAGGGTCTTTGAAAACCCTCAAAGATTAGTCCCAATATGCAGGGAGATATCCTCACTGGTGGAGTTGTTAGACACTGGAGGGAAGCAATGAGAATCTATAGCCTAGAAATTAGTCCCCCCTTTTTCTCTTCCTGCCCTCCAGGGCCTCCTTTAGACAGAGCTAGATTAGACATCCACTGAAGGTGAAGTTCTGGAGCACAACCTGCTAATCTTCAGTTCCACTGTGTTATGGGAAATTGCCTTGATATGGTAACTGCTTCCATGACAGGCAGCCTATTCCAGAAGATGCTTACCAAGACACCTTAGACCACATAATGATTAGGCAATCACAAAGGTTATTTAGGGTATAAAACAGCCAGATTCAAGAGGCAAGAGTGAGGGAAGGTTAACCCCCTAAGGATGGGGCTCAATCACCTATACCACATGCATCTTGCACTTCCATCCAGGGGCTATTGCTATGACTATGAGAACTGAGACTGTGGAATCAGGCAATCAGCACACAGAAAGTACCTGGAACCCCAGGTATCATTGCTTTTCTGGGAGGGCCTGGCCTCAGGCCCACTCACATAGTTCATCAGTGTTTGGGGCAGCCATCTCTTGTGCCTTATTATTGTCAGTTAATATATCTGATAAGTTCTACACATTCTGGTTGCTTTTCTTGTCTTCTGTGGCAGAGCTGAATATTCTGCATGAGGAAGCACATGTATATCATGCCTCGGCACTATCAAGAGGAAGACGGAAGGTGAGGATGGCACTTAGAGATGCAGGGGAAATAACTGGCAAAACTCCAGGCCCAAATATTATTCATTCAGATTACCTGTCTCTAGATTTGTTTGCTGTGTAATCTCTCTCCCTCTAATCTGGCCTGACCTTTTAGTTGTGTGTGCACTTTCATGTATGTGCAGATTCATCTGTCCTTTACAGCACATGCGTCTCACACCTATATCATCACCTTATTCAATATAGCTTTCAGTAAGTTCTGATACCTGCAAGCAAGTTCCCCTCCTTCATTTTCTTCAGAAGTGCCCTAGCTATTCTTGGCCCTTCATTCTTCCATAAATAATAATAATAATAATAATAATAATAATAATAATTTGATAAATGATTATGTCTCTTTTCCAAAACAGCCTTTGGGTTTTTTCTTCCTCATTCTTTCCTTTCTTCCCTCCCTCTCTTGATATTTTTGCTTGTAAGGTGGTCTCACTCTGTTGCCAAGACAGGCTTCAAAATTGAGATCCTCCTGCCTCTTCCCAGTGCCGGGGTCACAGGCATGAACCACAACACCCTATAAAAGATTTTCCTAGAGAACTACTTATCAGTCTTCAAATCGTGATTGATAAAATTTCCATTTTCTTGTTACCATTGTTACCATGTACTTAATCTTGAATATGTCCCCTGTCCATATTATTGCTTGTGAATCATTTGTATCTTAGTTTTTAGTTTTTACAGATGTCTAACTTAGAAAGGTTTTCAGATTATCTGTATAAGTGTCTATATCCATATGCATAATATCTCTATATATAACTTCAAGTGGGCTGGAGACTCTCCTGTTCTGTGAAAACACCCCTCTTGCACTTGCATGGGTGGGGGCTGTTCCTTGGAAGGGATGCCATTAAAGGCAGAACTCAATGATGTTCAAAAAAGAGGCCATGAAAGCAAGGCCTCATGTACCCCTCCCCTCCAAACATGGGCCCAGGGCCACTATCTCAATTTGGCCTCCAAGAGACCAGCTTGTGAGCCTCTGAGCTGGAATTGCACACACATCCATAGCATTTCTGTAGTTGCTACAGCTTTCAGGAGCTACTATGAATAAAAGCATATCATAGTTTGCTGTTTTCTTGAAAGAGGCAAAAAATTATTGTAGATAGTAATAATGTCATATGTGATAATCAATATACATATGGTTATTCTGATGTGGAGTTATGAGTAATTTACACTTTCTTCATTTCTACATGTTTCATGTAATAAATTTGTTTTTCATAATGAGCATGTATTGCTTTCCAACTAAAATGATAAACCAATTT